TCATGGCGACCTCATGTGTTACAGAACAGAACTGCTCCATAGGGTTTTCTTGGCTATAACCTTTACAGAAGCAGACCTCCAGGACTTTCTTCCACAGCACCACTGGTGGATTCAAACTGCCAACCTTTAGGTTAGTAGTCGAGTTCAAACCATTTCCACCACCCAGGGACCTTTCTATAAATGTTAGCTATTATTAAAGAGAAAAATAATAAGTGGAGCTATTAAGTGGCCCATCAATCATACCTAAGAAGCTGTCAGTGAGCACAGCCACAGTACCCTGTGCCCTGCCTTGTCGCCATAGACAGGAAATCCAGAGCTGAGAGAATCCCGTGTCTTCCGGAGTGGCAGAAGAGCAGAAGCTGGAAAGAACAGGACAAGCCTGGGGTAGCTCACCCCATGGACGGAGGCAGACTCCCTCCACAGATGATGACCTCAAAGACCTAGACTGCCTTCTGCCCACCTGCCCAAGTCTGTTCACTGCACTCTGTCTGATTCACCAGCTGAAGCTCTGCCATCGGCAGCACTCTGGACACCCACTGCCCAGCATGAAGGCTGGGCTCTGCCACCACTTTGGGCTTCTGGAACCCCTACCCCTTCTTCCTGCCTTGGGGAGAGATGCATGTCAGATGTCGCTCCCTGGGAGACCGCCCACATGCTGGGTTTACCCCTGGCAAAGCATAATTTTTTCTCACAAAATTTAAACATCTATTTTCTTATTTGAAACCTAACACATCAAGGGCGATTTAACTTACATTGGCAGCAGTTCCATCAGCTGTTCTGAAACAGTATTTTAATGAGAATAAGCTTTAATTAGTAAAATCAGATACCTGTTTATGATAAAACTTGAACGCTATCATCTGCCAGCTTTTCCTATTCACACCATTACAGGGGGCGAGCCACACGGCAAAAGGGGGACACAGTGACAGCACGGAAACCACCTGGGGAAATGGCAGCGGAGACCACAGAGAATAGCTATACTTAGCAATAATTAAACCTCAGATTAATTGAAGGATGCCAAGCATCCTCAAAATAGTGCAAAGTCAAAAGTATAATGAGATTGGAAATTTGCCTTCCAGAGGAAGGGCAGCCTGATCCTCAACCAGCGAAGGGAAAGAAGCCTGATTTTGTTCCCACTTCCCCTCAGAAAACATGACTGCCTCCATGTTGAGTGCCGTCGGCCCTTACTCCTTGTTTCCTTGTCCCAGTTGAGGACAGAAAATCTTAGAGAGACACTGGGAAAGAAAGGAGACTGTGAGCCCCCAAAAAAACAGCAGGGCAAGGAGAAGCACAGTGTTTACCAGAGCGTTTTAGAAGTATTATTGCCAAACAGTATTTCAGAAATGTTTATATACAAGAGTACAGAAGTATGTAGCTGAATACTATGTTTTGATGACACCAACCTCCTCCGTGTTAAATGAGAACAGTGGTTTGGACTGCTGTGGTCCTGGGGCTTGGCGGTTGTTTGCAGCAGTCTCTTGGGCAACAAGCAAGCGTGGCTGCGCTGAAACTCACAAACAGCCCCACCTTTCCGAACCAGGGAGTGCGATTTAGTAACGGCATACTTAACTCAGAGGAGCCACATTCTATCATAAAGAACGTGGATATTTATCCAGAAACCGTGAGATTTATGGTGTCGTACAGCTCACTGAAAATGGATTTGGAAATAAATTAAAACTAACTTCATGTTTTAATCAGTTTGGGAGACTTCAAGTATTGCAGCAACGAGCAAGTAATTTTCTTCTGGAAAACATATAATGATGTCATTATTTTGGTACTTGTGACTCCAGGGATGGAGGAAACAGGAACAGAGACAGATGTTTGCTGAATATAACGGATAGGTGGCGCTGTGGCCCATGGCAGATTATGGGATTACACTCAGAAAGCCTAGGTTATTACAAAGGCTATGTCAGAGGTTTAACCACAAGAATTAGAAAGTCAGATGCTACCTGAAAAAGGCATCTGACACACAGGAGCTAAGTTTGCTTTGGCAGTCAGTATTTATGAACTATAACTTCTAAGGTGTCTCCTGATTTTCTATTTGATTAAAGAACGCTTTAGGTTAGTACTTTAAGTATCTGCAAAACTGGTTATTAACTTCTATCATTTAGAAAAATCAACTTTAATGAATAGTTGGCTTTCTGAAGCATAGTTAGTTAACAACTATGCAAAGTAATTACGAGCCCAGGGAAAGCCTAATGCAGTTTACTTTCGGGTGGGTTACCTATGGCAAAAACACCACCTGCTACAGGCAGCTTTCCTTTCGTCTAGGAACACACCTGGGGCTTGGCTTCAGAAGTCTTGTGTCCAGTTACTTGGCTTCACCCCTTCCTGACTACTGCGCCAATTGCAGGTTACCTGGCTACTTAAATTGCCTGAGATTCACCTTACTTCTAATCTGCACCAGAGGTGAATATATCACGTGTTCAAAGTGGTTTCAAGTAACACACGAAAACCAGCAAAGCTTGTCTTTAGAAGTCTACCAACCTCCGAGTTGCTGGTTCCTATTTCTTCTAGACTCAGTTTCCATGTCTACAATATTGTTAATTGCTGTTACATTGACTCTGACCCATGGTGACCCCACGTGTGCACAGTAGAACTGCTCCATAGGGTTTTCAAGGCTGTGATCTTCTGGAAGCAGATGCCAGGCCTGTCTTCCTAGGCACCTCTGGGCAGGTTCTATCTGCCAACCTTTCACCTAGTAGTCAACTGCTTCACCATTTGGGCCACCCAGGGATGCGGGAGTTAAAACCCTCCTTCACAGGCTGTTGAGAGGCTTGATAGAGTACTTGCAGGGGGCAGAGCACTGTGGCTGGCACTTGTTGTTAGCTGCCAGGGAGTCAGTCTCCAGCTCATGGTGCCCACTTAAGACCAAAACCAAGCCTGATTCCAACTCACAGCAACCCCATGTGTTAGAACAGAACTGCCTTGTAGGATTTTCTTGGCTGTGATCTTTAGGGAAGCAGATCTCCAGGCCCTTCTTCTACTTCACCACTGGGTGAGTTTGAACCGCCAAACTTTAGGTTAGTAGTGGAGCACAAATCACTTGTGCCGCTCAGGGACTGGTGACCCAAGAAAATTATTACTGTTCCCTCCCTTCCCCACCTCACCAACCAGATACATGGGTGCAAACTGTGTGGTAATAGTTGGTAAACAATCCTCTTACAGGATATTGTCATTTCAAAAGAGGCCTTCAAAGTGACCAGTCTATCCAGGAATTTGCCCCTTCCCCCTCATCCTCCCTCACTCCTTCATCGTCACTGGGGCAGAAGGTGGCCCGTTGAGGAGTGTCCAGACTGCAGGAGGTAAGCAAGGACCCTTCCCAGTGGGGTCTCCAGCTGGTCCAGAATGCAGTGTAAATTCACAAAAACGTGTTGAGAGCTCTTAGGTGTATTTTCCATTGCAGATTTGAATTAACACTGAAAAATACCCAATGGGTAAATACTGGTCATTTACCCATTGAAAAGCACAACAAGACTCTCAGGGTTTAGAAACTCCAGTGGGAGCTGGTGAAGTGAGTGAGTGGTTTATCTTCCCAAGAGTTTAAAAACTACTAACCAGGCAGTATTTTGTTCCGTTGTACATAGGGTGACTATGAGTCTGAAGCGACCGGACGGCACCTAACAACAACAGCAGCAGCTAAGGAATGTGTGTTTCCTAAAATGTAAACGAGAGAAGAGAAACTGCGGTGGACAGAGAAGAAACACACTATTGCATTTTGGAATTCTTCGGCCAGAAACTTCTCTTTCCCTAGGGCGGGTACTTTTCACCTGGGGTTCAGCCCCCCTTCCCAGGGTTGAAGACCTAATGAACTGGGGGTGAGCTAACTAGTGGGACACTGTCGCCCCGGACAGTTCAGAGCGAACTGCCTTTCGGGGAAAGCTTCCAGAGCCAAAAGTTGCTTTGCAAGCGCGTGGAGGCTCCCCGGGCGCCTCCCTCGGACAGCAGCCCTGGCCGGTCAAAGCAGTCGCATCGCTTAGTCTCCCGGCGTCTGGAGACGCCCCTGCACCGCGGTCAGATGGCACTTGGCACCCAGCCCCCTCCTTCGCGCCCAGCCCACGGAGGTACTGAAACCCGTTATCCTAACACAAAATCAGGAACTGCAGTCTTGTGTAAACACCACGCCGGCCCCACCCTTAAACTACTCCCTGAGGAGTTAAAACATTGCCTAGTCAGTAGTACTGGAGTCTCCCGCTGATGCCTCCGCTGTAGTTATTTATCTCACATATAAACCAGGACTCTGCTAACAAATCTCCGTGTTTCCACGAAACAGAAGGCTGCCCTGCAAAGCCCCTCTCCTTATGATTCTTTTTTAAGTGTCAAAACTGACACTTTGTTAAACCGGCCTGCAGAGGACACCGCTCAGGGACGATTAACAAGACGATGTGTGACACCCCCCGAACGCACGTGGGTACAACAACCATCAGTTGGGCACATGGAAGGGATGCAAAACGAAGAGCAGTTATTTTCCAGTCGGTGGATCTTAGGGAGGAAGATGCCAAATGCACGTCCCGAGCCAGATGAACTCCGCGGGCACCTAATCATTGCCAGATGTGGAGCGCGCGCACCGCGAACACCCCGAGCCGCGGCGAAATCACCGGACCGCGGCACACCAAATTGTCGGATAGAGGAACAGCACCGAGGAGAAAGGGAAGGGACCGGGGACTGGGGGGGGGGGGGCGGCTCTGGACAGCGGTGAACGGTCCAGGGGGATTATTATGCCTCCACTCTCTCCTCGGCATATTTTTTCAATTAAAAAGTTGGAAGCTGGAATCCGTAAACAACGACTTAGGGCTTCAAACTACTTTTCAAACTACACGATGGGGAGGGGAACACTTGCACGTTTAAAAACTCCAACCACGAGGTCCCCTGCAGTGCCCGACGCCGGAGTCAGGGAGCGCCCCAAGTATCCGCGCACGAACCCGCGGAGAAAGTTCGCGCAGGTACCGCCCCGGTGCCTCCCGCGCGACCCGGAGCCCCGCGAAGCCCTCCGCGCGTCCTACCTTTCATGGTGACCGACGAGACGCACCAACAGCCAGGGAGCTCCGTGCGAGCGCCGCGCCGCCGAGGAAGTCCACCCTGAGCACCCCGTCACTGCACTCCCATGGCAGCCTGGAACCGTCCCCCCGCCTCTGCCCCGCGCGCCCCGCACTCGGCTTTCCGCGCTCGGCGCTGTGCTGCAGCGGGGCTGCGAGCGCGCCACTCCCCCCGGGCGGGAGGT